CCAAGGCCAAAAACCCGCAGCTCGCAGCCGGAGACCTACTGACACCGAGGCGGAAGTGAGACCCGCCGCCTCGCCGACCGACAGCGCTCTCAGCCACTCGTCGCGCCTGGCGCTGTTGCGTCGACTACCGCTCACCCAATCAGCGTCGGGCCCGAAGGCCCCGCCGGGGGCGGGACTATACGGATCACGTCGCCCAGGTGACCTCTTCCTCCGCCCCCCGGCAATCCCGCCCACGCGAAGGAATGACAGCGCGCCTAACCAGTCACTGCAGAGGGGAGGTGGAGTTATGTAGATATTGCCAGAGAGGGGCGGAGAAGGAGGGAAGGGTGTGCCCGAGCGAAAGGCGAGTTTACAAACAGTGAGTCAGGCGGTCCCTGGCTTAGGCGCGGTGTGGCTGGAGAGCTGGGAGGCTCACCTCTCCGCTGCTGCTTGACCTCCTGTGTGCGCGTTTGTGCTTGCGGGAGCATGTGGGAAGCACAGGGCTCCTTCCCAGTCCCCACACACTAGAAACGGGGCGAGCATTGAATACCGTTTTCCCGACCCCGCCTTTACATGCCACTAGTTGCTTACCAAAATCCTGCCTCAGTATGGGGGTGAGGGGCTGATGCTCGCGTCTAAACCCCCTCAGGCTCCACTGCCCCCTGTGGCCCCTCATCCCCCAAACTCACGCGGCACACCTGGCGCTTGTATTCCTGCCCAGTGTCAGGCCTCGGACAAGTTATCTCACCTTCTAAACCTGTGGGTGCCCAGGGTATGCTTTGCAAAAGAGGGTTCGCCTACCCTCGTGCCATTGGAACTGGGATCTCATTTACCACGAACGGAGTGGATGAACCAGGCGGCTACTCAGACTCTCAGCCACTAGTTGGGGTGAACACAGTCCTGCCCTGACCTAGGAGGTTCATCGCAGCCACAGAGGAATGACCAGGGGAAGACTGAAGTCACATGACTGTCATCTGCCTACCGACCACTACAGAACTCCAGGAAGCCCAAGGCTGCTGCCTCCACCCGAGGTGCGAGACACCTGGAACCAGCTGTACCTGAAGCTGCAAGATCTAGCCTAGATTTTTCAGTTGTCTGAATAACTGTATTTTCTCTTCTGCCCAAGCCACCTTATGGTGGAGTCAAAGGGTATAGGTCCCCTGAAGCCACAAGAACTCCAGACAGTGACCCCTGATCCCACAGCACATTTCTGTACTGAGTGTGTGTGTGTGTTTGCACACACGCGTGTGCACATAGGTCTCCCCTAGCAGGACCAAAGGTGACTTGAGAGCACTGGCCACTTTGGCTACTTCTGTGGGCTCCTAGGCAGATACTCTGTTCTCATAAATGCTGGGGTGCTAATGAGAGAATGGTGCCTCTGTGGCAGGGGGCCTAGGCCTCTTTTCCAGCTTCCCTGCCTCGGGGCTGCCCAACCTCACTGATGGCCCACTGCCCACTGGGCTGTGAGACCCAGCAGGACTGGGAAGGATCCCCATGCTGCTCTAGAAGAGAGCTGAGATGGGAGGGAGGCGGCTGGCCTCCGAAACAAAGGCGTTGCCATGGTTACCTCTGAAGACAGCGACTGTGCCAGCAGAGGGAAGGGTGCGGCTTACAGCCCCCAAGCCAGGACAAGGACGACAGGATGGTTGCTACGGAGATGACCAGGCTGACCAGACTCCACCGCTTCCCTGGAGCCCTGGCCTAGGACCAGCTCACAGTCCTAGATACCCACCACCCTGTACCCCATCACCCTAGTTCTCTAAGACTCTGATCCCTGTGTCCTGCTCTAGAGGGCAGAGGCTCAGGCACAATGACCTTGTCATCTGCTCAGAGACCACCCAAGTTGTGCATCGTCTCCCCCACCCTGGGGGGCCTCCAGTGGCACATGGGCCCTGGCCTGGGACAGGGCTTTACCCCTTCAAACAAATGCCACAGCTGAACTCCAGGAGCCAGCTGCTGCGTCCTCCTACCTGGTCCCTGCTTTTGGGCTGGGTGGTGGGCAACTAAGGATAAGCACGCTTCAGTTGGTGACAGGGGTACCCTGGAGCACTTGGGGCGCTTTTCACCATCTTGCAAGGTCAACAGCCAAATGACAGAAGCAGAATTGTCCAGGAGCGGGAAAGAAGAAAGGAGTGTTTTTGGAGTGTCATCATTCTCATGATGACAATGAGGATGGAGGTGACTCTGACAGTGACAGCTGAGGGCACCATGACTCACATGCCTCAACCCGTTTCCCCTCTGCAACAACCAAGTAAGTGACCTCTGGACCATCGTCCCCACTCTGTCGAGGGGCAGACTGAGGCTCGGGTTCCCTGAACTGGGCAGTGAGGAAGAGGCAGAACTCTGCCCCAACCAGAGGCCCAAGCATCCTTTCCTGGCTCTGACTGCTGACCCCCGCGAGGTCCAGCAGCTATGGCTCTGAGTGCTGTGAGATTCTAAGACATGTAGCTTTGGTGGGTCATTCAGGGTATCCACGGGTCTAGTGGACCATGTCTGGATGGATGCTCCCACCTGAGCCCAGGCCAACCCCAGGAGCATCCCCACTGCAAGGTCTGTCTGTGATGTCCCC